CTCTTTAGTACTCTTTTCTCCACTCTTCTCTCTCTCCTGCTCTTTCCAAAGCCCCAAGCTTGTCTTGTGAAGGCCATTAGCGCACCTCCATCTTGTTAAAGCTGATCGTAGAGACTCTACAGTTCTCTTCTTCCCTGATCTCTTGGCAGCATTTGATGAGGTGGATTACTCACTCCTTCTTAAAATACTTTCTCTCCACTGGTTTCTGTGATGTCACATCTGCAGTATTTTCTTTCTCCTTCTCTTACTCCCTGCTGGTTCCATACACCTTCTAAACCTTCTCAGTCTCTTTTCCTTCTGCCTGGAAGAACCTATTGTCTTACTATATGTAATGGTGGGAAGTCACCTTGAAGTCTTTCATCTTCTCTCCTATGGGGCTTCAAATGAAAACTCTCTGCTCAGTTCTCCAGGTTTTACCTCCTCGGAAATCACAAATCTTTTCTTACAAATGAAAAGGGTTTGCTTTTCCTATTTTTTTTTTTTTGGTAATATATTTTCTAAATTTGTTTAGCTTTTTAAGCTCTCATTTATTTTTTTAATTGATATAATTAACATCTGATATATATTAATTTCAGGTGTCCAATATAATGATTCGACATATGTATATACTGTGAAATGATCACCACAGTAAGGTTAGTTAACATCTGTCAACACACAGAGTTATAATTTTTTTCTTGTGATGAGAACTTTTAAGATTGACCCGCTGAGCCACTTTCAAGTATACAATGCAGCATTGTTACCTATAGCTGCTTTGCTATACAATTCTAGGACTTATTTTTTTTTTAATGTTTATTTATTTTTGAGAGAGAGAAAGAGTGTTTGTGGGGGATGGGTAGAGAGCAAGGGAGACACAGAATCCAAAGCAGGCTCCAGGCTCTGACTGTCAGCACAGAGCCCGACGTGGGGCCTGAACTCACTAACTATGAGATCATGAGAAGTGATGCTCTTTCTCATCTGAAGTCACTGAGCTACCCAGTGCCCCTTTTCTAGGACTTATTTAATCTCATAAATGGAAGTTTGTACTTTCGACCATCTCTACCTATTTTGCCCACCTCCAGCATCCCCTCCTCCCCACCTCTGGCAACCACCAATCTGTTCTCTAGGTCTGTGAGTATGTTGTTGTTTTGTTGTTGTTGCTGTTTTTAGGTTCCATGTATAAGTGAGATCACACAGTATTTGTCTTTCTGCCTGACTTATTTCACTTAGCCTAACACCCTCAAGGTCCTTCCACGCTGTAACAAATGGCAGAATTTCCAACAGCTTTTTATTATTATTATCATTAATTATTCTGCTAGGTGATACATTTTAAAAGCAAGGATAATCTTTACCACCTTTTTCTTAACTATGTCTGCCCTCCCCTGAACAATGGGACGCCTCACCTTGCATGAGTGGAGGGTGCTGGGGCAAACCAAATTTTTGAGAGTGAAATATCTCAGCACCAAACTGTCCATAAAGCCTGTCCACCTGTGTGTGTCTCAGAGGTATATAAACTGTTACATACCTGAAACTTGTGATTCCCCACCCCCACATATCCAAATCCATATCACCTCTAGTCTCCCTCAACCAGAAGAATGGCTCCTCCATTCATTCAGTTGCTCAAGTCAGAAATCTGGGAAATGGCTCTACCAACTCCTGCTGGAGATGGGGAACCAGATCTTGCCCATACTTCTCTGTCCTTTCCCCAGTGTCTACTTCTCACCATCTCCACTCTACTGCCCAGCTCCTAGCCGTCATTATCTCTTCTCTGGAGAGCTGCAATAACCTTCCAACTGGTCCCCCTGCTTCCACTCATGCTTCTTTCCAATCCCATCCCCACACGGCAGCCTGAGAGGTCTGACAAAGCCCATCAGGTCCTGCAGACAACTTGCTCTGTATCTCTTCAGTGATTTCCCATTGTACTTGCCATAAAATACAAAACGCTTGACATGGCCTCCAAGGCTCCACATGTTCTGTGTTCTGCCTCCCTGTCTAGACTTACAGCAAGCTCCTTTGCTCCTCAAGCTCCAAAACTGGACTTTCACCGTCTCTGACTGTTCCACACACTTTCCTCCCTCTGAGCCTTCACACATGCGCGCCTTTTCTCTCCCCTACACCCATTCCTTTGCCTTCTACTCAACTTTCTGCCTGAGGTTAATCGGAGGGGCTTTTCCTGAACTTTCCAGTCCAAACCAAATCCCCAAGTTACTCTCGCGGCACCCATTTCTTTTCCCTCATGTCGGTGATTGTTACGTGTGATTATAAAGTCATGCATGAGAATTAACTGTTAAATGCTTCCCTTCCCATAGAATTAGGGGCAGGGACCTTGTGTGTTTTGCTCATCAGCTAGCACAGTCCCCAGCATGTAGTGGGGACTCACTATCTGCTGAAGGAATGAATGAATGAATGGATTGTGTAGGATAAACAGAATAAGAAAGCAAAAAGGAAGAAGACAGAATCTTAGGGGAAAGGTTACATGTAAAAAGAGTGGGCAAAGGAAAAGGAGTCAGCAACAGAAACGGAAAGATCAGGAAAGAGGTAGAATCAGTGGAAAATGGGATTTGGGATCTCTAAGGAACTACCACTTGGAAGACAGGGCACAGAGTTTTCACTCTGTGCCCCAGACTGAAAATGCCCGTGCGGGCGAGGAGCTTCTCGAGTTAGCAGACCCTGCTGACATTAGTGTAAAATGTACAGGCACTGCTCGGCAACATGAAAACTCAACATATGCACACCTGTCGTACCTGCGACTTGACTCCTCGGTGTTTGCCCAAAAGAAGTGTGTGCGCGTGTGCACCCGCAAAAAAACATAGACACGAATACTTACTGCAACCCGATTCATTCCAGTTAAAAACTGGAAACGACCCAAATGCCCATCAACAGTAATATGAACAAATTGTGATACATTCATGCAATGGAATACTAGATAGCAATGAAAATGAATTAGTCCTGTGACTAATACAGGTGAGTTGGATACATCTCACGAACTTACTGTTGGACAAAGGGAGTCAGACAGCAAAGAGTAGATGCTGTAAGGGGCGCCTGGGTGGCGCAGTCGGTTAAGCGTCCGACTTCAGCCAGGTCACGATCTCACGGTCTGTGAGTTCGAGCCCCACGTCGGGCTCTGGGCTGATGGCTCGGAGCCTGGAGCCTGTTTCCGATTCTGTGTCTCCCTCTCTCTCTGCCCCTCGCCCGTTCATGCTCTGTCTCTCTCTGTCCCCAAAATAAATAAACGTTGAAAAAAAAAATTAAAAAAAAAAAAGAGTAGATGCTGTATGATTCTCTTTGCGTAAAGTTCTAAACAAAGCGAAACTAATCTAGCAGTGCTGGAAATCAGAATGGTGGTTACCTTCAGGGAGATTATGTAGTGACTGAGATGAAGCACGAATGGGGTTTTGGGAGACGGTATGTTCCAGGATATGATTACCAGGTGAGTTTAGTTTATGCCTATTCACTTGACTCACTCATGATTTGTGCACTCCCTGTTTGTTACACTTCGATAACAGTTTACTTCGGAAGACAACTTGGTAGTCTTCTATTTAAATTGCTTAGCAGCACTTAAAATAGATTATCACTGAATCTTTTCAGGAAATGGAAGTGTTGGTGTGTATGCCTCTGAGTGTGTATGTATGTGTGGGTGTTGAACACTGAATATTCTTCAGGAATGCAGTCAGGTGAAAGGAAACATCAGATTTATTATGCTCTCTTAAATGACTTGGCTACGTGCCATAGTGTTTCCATAAAAGTTTCTCCACTCAGTGAGAGTCAATCTACTTGTATTGTTAGAAGGATCTTACGGAACCCCAACCTATACCACATCTATCAAATTCCATTTTACCCTCTCTTTTTATTCAGTAAATCATTCAATCACTGAGCATTTTCTCCGCACCAATCCCTGTGAGGCGCATCGGGGATTCAGAGAAAACTCTATTTTTGGGACCTGAGGAATCCAGCAGGGATGCTTGCCAAGAGCATCCAAAGCCACAGGAACAGGATCCGGGGCGAGATTGTGTGAGGTTTTCACCTAGAATAGCTGGAAATTGTATAATCAAAGGAGCAAGGGAAGCCAGAGTCCAGTGGAAAGGAGACTTGGTACAAGGAATCAGAGATGGCGGTCAAGTTGACCTCAGGAAACAGTCGCTGAAGAGATCAGGCACAGGTCAGGAAGTAGATGGAAAGATGGCCCAAGAGATCAGTGGAGAATCTAGAGCCTTGGTGGGCGGGATCCACCCTGGGTGCTTGGATCAACAACAGTGCATTGTCTCTCCAAATTGAAAAACAATACGAAACTGAATAAAAGTCTGGCTGCTTTGTGTTATCACCACACACCAGCGGTCCTAAAAAAATGTTAATAAAGTACTCCTGCCTAAGAATGCTCAGTACAGAAGTGTTTGAAAGAAAACAAAATGTTTAGGGGCGCCTGGGTGGCTCAGTCGGTTGACCGTCTGACTTCGGCTCAGGTCACCATCTCACAGTCCGTGAGTTCGAGCCCCGTGTCGGGCTCTGTGCTGACAGCTCAGAGCCTGGAGCCTGCTTTGGATTCTGTGTCTCCCTGTCTCTCTGCCCCTTCCCTGCTCATGCTCTGTCTTTCTCTCTCTCAAAAATAAATAAAAACATTTAAAAATTAAAAAAAAAAAGAAAACAAAGTGTGTGTAAGATTATGTCTTAATTTTATTTTTGAATTGTTCTTGGCTACTATATAGAATATAATTGATGTTTTGTGTATTGATGTTATACCACGCAACTGGGAGCAGCCTAAATGTCCCTCACCTGGAAAACACACGAGCGGGTCTTAGTATATTCTTACTAACTGTATAGCCGCGAAAGCCAGATCAACCAGTACCCTCCGTACGGCCTTGGGCAAGTCCAAAGCATAATTTTCAATTGCACTGTAACCTAATGCCACTTACACAAAGTTTCGAAACATGTAAAACCCTACATGGTGTACGGATCATTGTAAAAGCCCACAGAGTACATGGCATGACCAACATGGGAGGAGAGTAATGACCCCAGGAGCCGGGGGGAGAGAGGAAGGCGATCAGAATGGGTGCACAGGACACCGGTGTTTTGTCATTTTTTTCAAGCCTAGAGGCGGAAACCGCACGTTCGTTATTTTTATTACCTGTTCTTTTCCCACGTGTCAGGAAGATCTCATAATACAAATAAAATTTTTGACCCGCACACAAAACAATACTCCTGCCTGCCAGGGAGGACTGTATCTGCCTGACCCTTCATCCTCCAGTGCGGGCGAAAGAGTCAGAAGAAAAAAAACCTGACATATGTGAAGGTGTCAAAAGCCCATTGCTGTTGGTGGCCTGAGACGGGCAAAGAGCCAGGTGAGAAAAAATCTGGCTTTCTGCGGAAGAGTCTCTTGCAGAATGTTATCTGAAGGCAAGACGCCATGTTCTTAATGCTGACGTAGGGTAAAAAGGTTACCATCCCTGTGACAATGTGCTCCAAAACGCCGTGCCCAGACCTTGTCACACAGAAGCAGGCAGGGATGACTCAAGTCTAAAGAGCTCTAAATCCGGGAAACAGTATGCCCGTTATAAGCAGGCACCGTGACATTTTGGAATATGGGCTGGTAAGGCTCTCCATGTTAAGTAGGCTTTACAAGTTGTTATTACAATCACGTTAGCGCAGCACTACAGCAAACGTCCCACGTCCACAGATGATTCTCTCCAAGAAACCTATTGGTTTGCTTTTCTTCTCTTTTCCTTCTGAATAGCAGCTGACAGACAAAGGGGAGCTGGCCTGGGCCTTTGATGCCAATGCCAACTGAACAATAGCCCTGCTTGTGGCAATCGCCCTCTTTGTTCAGCCAGGAGAATGCGGAGGCTGTTGCTCATTGGATCTCGTGCATGTGGGTGGCCAGAGCAAGGTGCATTTGGCAGCCAGATGTAGATTCTGGGTGGTATGAGCTGACTGTCCACATAGCGAAAGCTTGGGACTTGGCTGGGACTCCCCTGACCAGTGCAATCACGGAGACCAGATGGACTCGCCTTCTCGTCCTTTGAAGATGGTCCTTTATTTAGCTACAGGGAAGAAGCAGCCAACAGTCTGACCTGGAAAGCGTTCTCGGGCAGCCCGGTTCTTTTCGTGCGACATCTAAGAGAAAGGGAAAGTGTGCTGTTGAAAGGAAAATTTAGGGACAGCCTCTGCAAGCCACTGAGGACTCTGCAAAATCGCACGTACGAGTGGGCACCAGAGGTTCAATTAACCGATGGGAGCTTCCCATTTATTTTCCTAGGGCAGTTCAACTTAGAAGGCAGATGACACTTCAGGGAATTTGTCACCATTTCCAGGGGCTTCTGTGCTGTTGCTGCTACTTGCTGTAATGGCTACTACTGCCAACAGAACCCCTTCTCCCCACCGGAGGGCTCCTCCCTCCAGCCCACCCTCGTAGAAGGGCAATCTGGATACGGCTGGTGGGCTGGAGCCCAGGGGTTTTGCTTGCCATGCCCGTTTGCACGGCTCTCAGGTGGAGGTCCTGAGTTAGAATCACAGTCCCATGGGGACCTGGTTGCAGCCAAGGTGAGTTGCAGGGCAGAGGGCTCCATCTCTGCCCACTCTGGGTCACAGGGTTCTTCTAAAATGCCAGCTAGAGCTGGGCCCTCCCACCTAACAAATCCTTTGGGAATCTGCCAACCGCCTTGCGTTTTGAGCTCTGTGTCTCTGGTGGCTCTCGCTGGCTAACCTCCTTTAGATAGTCTACCTAGCTGCATGGTATTCCCACTCTGGGTGAGGGCTTCACCCCTAACCACAAACTCTTTGCCCATAGAGCCGGCTCTGGGATCCTACTCATCAGCCACTTGGGATGGAGGTGGAGATCTGGGGGCACAGGGCCACCATGCACAGTTGTACAAGTTGTTCACTGCACAAGGTTTTCCAGCCAGGATGATGAATGGAGGCTGAAATCAGGTCCATAGGATCTGGACTACTTCCACTTCATCAGCGCCTAATGAGCGCAAATGCCAGTGCTTGTTACTTTTTGTTTCACTTGCTCAGATCAGCACACTCTTTTTTTGAAGAGCTGTTACCCTCTTAGCTTGAAACTCATAGTTCTAGTTGGAACTACCAATCTAAGTACCCGAGTACCCAAACACCTGGCCTCCGGAGTAGATGCATGGCACAAGCTGGGACGACCAGAGTCCTTCCCAAAGACTTTCTGCTAAGGGAAAAGAGTCTTTTCCCAGTGGGGGGCCAAGGTGGCAGAATGCAAGTCCAGAAGCACCAGGGGCTGAACTTCCCACCATGTGGAAGAAACTGGAGTATAGTAAAAGATAATGAAGCCAACATGTAAGGAAACGAAGAGACAAGAAATGGAGAGAGTCCCCTCTAAGGCCCTGACTCAGGGCATCGTTGAGGTCAGTCGCACAGTCCTCCATCCCAACCCTGTCTTCTCCCAGTTTTCTTTCACGAGCCAACACATCTCTGGGTTTCATCTAGTCTGTACTGTTTCTATTGCTTGCAACCAAGAGAGCTCTGATAGACACGTGTCCAATAAAGGTCTTCTTAAATACCAACTCTGCCGGGAAAAGAGAAACTAACATTTATATAAGGTCTAATATGTACCCACCATGAACTCGATGCTTTTATATATTATATCATTTCAATTCGCTTACGAACCAGCAGTAGGGAATATTAATCTCCTCGCTTTTCAGATGAGAAAACTGAGGCACAAAAAAGGTTGAGGAACTTTCCAAAAATCACAGAACCTAGAAATCTTCTACGAAGTTCATTCTTCTCTGTACAATGGGACACAAAAAGCTTTGAAATATTCACCACCGTCTTATGAAAGAGGCTTCCCCACAGAGATAGCCTCAATATCAATCATGCTAGAAATCCCAGATTTATCACATTTTATTTATCAGGTGTTGAACATTTGAGTTGTTTCCACATTTTAGCTACTCTGAATCATGCTGCTATGAACATTCATGGACAAGTGTTTGTGTGAACATAAGCTTTTAATTCTCTTGGGTATCTACCACCGGAACAGATGGGTTTTATGGTAACTCTATATTTAACTTTTTGGGTACCTGCCAGACTATTGCCCAAGTGTCTATACCATTTCATATTGCCACTAGCAATGTAGTAGGGTTCCAATTTCTCCACAGCCTCACTGAAACTTGTGATTATCTTTTTTTATTATAACCATTCCAGTGGATGGGAAGTAGCCTCTCATTAGGGTTTTGACTTGTGTTTCCCTGGTGACTAAAGATGTTGGGTATCCTTTGATGTGCCTATTGGTCATTTGTACATCTTTGTAGAATTATCTTTTCAAGTCCTTGGGCTACTTGTCTTTGCATTATTGAATTGTATGAGTTCTGCATACGTTTTAGGTAAAAGTCTCTTATAAGAAACACGATTTTCAAATATTTTCTCCCATCTTTGGGTTGTCTTCACACTTTTTTGATAGTGTCCTTTGAAGCACAAAAGTTTTTAATTTTGAAGTCCTATTTAACTGTGTTTTTTCTTTTGTTGCTTTTGCTTTTGGTGCCGTACCTAAGAAACTCCGTCTAGCTCAAGGTCACAAAGATTTACTCTTTTATTGTCTTCTAAGAGTTTTATAGTTTTTGCTCTTACATTTAGGTCTATGATCCTTTGTGAGTAAATCATGGCATATTTGTGAAGAAGGGGTCCACTTCATTCTTTTACATGCAGATATCCAGTTGTCCCATCACTATTGCTGAAAAGACTATTCTTTCCTTACCCAATCGTCTTGGCACCTTTCAAAATCAATTGACTGTAAATGTAAGAGTTTATTTCTGATCTGTTTTATTCCATGATTTACAAGTCTATTCTTATGCCAATACCACTGGCTCAATTAATGTAGCTACTCAGTAAAGTTTTGAAATGAGGAAGTGTGAATCCTCTAAATGTGTTGCTTTTCAAGATTGGTTTGGCCATTGTGGTTCCCTTGCGAATATGAGTTTTAGGATCAACTTGTTAATTTCTGCAAAACTGGAAGTTGGGATTTTGAAAGGGTGTGCCTTGAACCTGTTGATCATTTTGGAGAGTGATGCCACCTTAACTATGTTGTCTTTCAATTTATGAACATGGATTCCATTTATTTCTATCTTGTTTCATTTTTTCATTGATGTTGTATAGTTTCAATATACAAGCTTTGCATTCCTTTTTAAAATTTATCCCTAAGTATTTTATTCTTTTTAACGCTCATGTAAGTGGAATTATTTTCTTAATTTTATTTTGGAATTGTTTATTGCTACTATATAGAATATAATTGATGTTTTTGTATTGATCTTATACCATGCAACTTTGCTGAACTCCCTTATTAGTTCCAATAGTTTGTGTGTGCATTATGTGTGTGTTTATGTACATGTGTATTCCTTGGGATATTTAATATACAAAATCATGTCATCTGCAAGGAGAGATAATTTCACTACTTTCTTTTCAATCTGGATGCATTTTACTTCTTTTTCTTGACTAATTGCCCTTACTGGAACCCCCAGTACCATGTTGAGTACAAGTAATGAGAGCAAACATCCTTGTCTTATTCCTGATGTTAAGGTGAAAACTTTCACCATTAAGTATGATGTTAGCTGTGGGTTTTTTGTACTGTACGTACTTTATCAGGTTCAGCAAGTACCCTTCTATTCCTTGTTTGTGAAGTGTTTTTATCATGAAGAGGTGTTAAACTTTTTCAAATACTTATTCTGTGTCTATTCAGATGATTAGTAGTTTTTGTCCTTTATTCTACATATATAGTATATTACAATGATTGATGTTTGGATGTTAAACCAATTTTTAATTCCTGGGACAAATCCTAGCTGGTCAAAAGTGATGTGTAATCACTTTTATGTGTTGCTGGATTTGATTTTTTAGTATATGATTAAGGATTTCTGGGTATGTATTCATGAGGCATAGAGGCCAATAGTTTCCTTTACTTGTGCTGTCTTTGCCTGGTTTTGGGTAAAGTTAATACTGACCTCATAGAGTAAGTTGGTAAGTGTTCCCTTGTCTCTGATGTTTTGGAAACGTTTGTGAAGAACTGATATTAATTGCTCTTTAAATGTTTGATAGAATTCAGAAGTGAAATCATCTGAGCCTGGGTTTTTCTCTGTGAAAAGTTACTAAACTACTAATTTCATCTCTTTATTTGTTATAGGTCTATTCATGTTTTCTACTTCTTCTGGAGTCATATTTAGTGTTTGTGTTTTTCTAGAAATTTGTCTATTTCATCTAAGTCATCTAATTGGTTAGAATACAGTTGGTCATGGTATTCCCCTATAATCCTTTTTATTCCTCTAAGGTAAGTAGTGATGTTTCCTTTTTTATTCCTGACTTTAGTAATTTGAGCCTCTTTTTTCTGGCTACTCTAGGTAGAGATTTATCAATTTTGTTGATCCTTTTAAAGAATCAGCTTTTGGTTTTGTTAAATTTCTCTATCATTTTTCTATTTTCAATTTCATGACTCTCCACTCTGATCGTTATGACTTCCTTCCTTCTGTTTGCTTTAGGCTTCATTTATTTTTCTTTTTCCAGTTTCTTAAGGTGAAAGATTGGGTTGTTGATTTGAGATGATTCTTTTTTTTAATTATAGGTATTTACAATGGTAAGTTTAGCTCTGAGCACTGCTTTAGCTTAATCCCACAAGATTCAGTATGTTCTGTCTTCATTTTCATGGCTCTCAATGTACTTTCTTTGCTTTTTATTTTTCTTTCTTTCTTTCTTTCTTTCTTTCCTTTTTCTTTTCTTTTCTTTTGTTTTTTTCTTTTGAGACAGAGAGAGTGCACATGAGCAGGGGAGAAGGGCAGAGAGAAAGGGAGAGAGAGAGAGAGAGAGAGAGAGAGAGAATCCTAAAGAGGCTTCACATTCAGCATGGAGCCTGATGTAGGGCTTGATCCCAATACCCTGAGATCATGACTTAAGCCAAAACCAAGAGTCGGACACTCAAGTGAGTGAGCAACCCTGGCATCCTTTTTTTTTTAAGATTTTATTTTAAAGTAATATCTACATTCAACATGGGGCTGGAACCCATGACCCCAAGATCAAGAGTCGCATGCTCTACTCACTGAGCCAGCAGGGTGTCTCTCAATGTACTTTTTCATTTCCTTTGTGATTTTTCTTCATTTAGGAGTATGTTG